AATTCGCCCAACCTCCCCACGCCATCTCCGGGAATCGCAGCCACACACATTACCTCCCCCCCCTTCCTTTCTCTTTCTCTTTCTCTCTTTTCCTTTTCTTTTCTCGGCTTTTGATGGAGAACCGGGGGGACGATAAGGTGTGCACAGCACGCAACAGCGTTGGGGAGGTTCGGGTCGGTCAGATCTTTTCACTTCTTTAATCTCTTCGTTTCGTTTTTCCAAATTTTTCCGGAAATTAAAAAGATAAAAGAGAAATGATTTCCGATATGGGAAAGAAAGTGGATGATTTGACGCTCGTGGTCTAGTTGCGGTCTTTGATCAATTCAAATTGTGTAGATCTCTGATCAGTTTACATTCTTTAGAACGGGCAGAAAAAGTGCCGATAAAATAGGTAAGTCACCGTTGGTCCTTTTACTTTTGCCCGAAAACAAAACAAAACAAAATCGTTGGTCCACCTATTTTGCTTCAAAACCATCCCTTACTTTACAAAACGTGCCATCAATCGTCCCAATTTGGATTTGGCGATGGGATTTGCCTACTTGGCATTAACTATTTTTTGGCGTGGATTTCTGTTTCCTTTTATTTGCCGATGTGTTTTTTTTTTCTTTTTTCAAATGTTCTCTCCCTATTGTTCTTCTTCCTTAAATCCTACTAAAACAAAACTCACAAATTTAACGACCACAACAATGCAAAAAAAATGATTTGTATAGTCCCTCAAAGCCACCAATTGAGTGGCCATGGCCTTGAATTTCGTGACTCAAAAAGATCTTGTCGTTATGGCATCGAGCTCAAATTTCAAGTTGCCATGGCTGCCGCAAGCTCACATTGAGAGGCCACGGTCTTGAGCTTGAGTAGCTGTGGTATCGGCAAGCTTAGGTTGAACGTCCCTGGTGGCCGGAGCTTAGAGCTTGAGCTAGCAGCTATGGCCGTCCTAATGGACACCATCTCTCTCTCTCTCTCTCTTTGATTTTTTTTTTATGTTGTTTGATGTGGCTCCCAACGTATTGTGTGTGTAAATTGAGCAAGCCATAGCATGGCATGCGTACAATTGTGTTCGTATCATAATCGGACAACCTACGTCGGCAAAAACCGACCATCGAAAGAAAAAGTATAACTTAAGGAATGCTCGAAGGAAGATTTTAATTTTTGGGTAAACGTAGAAAAACTAATTGTGACATTATCCATTTCTTTATTTTTTTGCCATTGCTAGGTTTTGATGACCGACCCCACCCTTCAAGCCTAAGAGGTAGGGATCGAACTTCGTAGCTCCCCCTAATTAGGTGAGGCTTAAGTCGATCGATATGAATTTATCTTAGATCCACTTTTGCTATGGGAAATTTTTTTCAAGAGAGCATCATTGGTCCCATTACACAAAGAACAATATATAAAGTAAGTTAAATATTTTGTATTCCAAATGAATTCACGAGACAAACATTGATGGTGTAAAAAAGGAAAAATTACTAAAAAAATCCTAAACCTTTTGCAATTGTGTCAATTCAGTCCTAAATCTTTTTTTTTGGCCATTTCAGTCTTAAACCTTTTATAATTGTGCCAATTCAGTCCATCCAGCCATTTTTGGCCGGCTGGCGCTAACGTGGATGCCGGACAGTTGACATGGCATTATTTTAATATTTTTTTTCCTTCTGGTCCGGCCAGGGGGAGGCTTGCCGGTGAGGTGACCTCACCGGCCATGGCGAGGTCGACCTCGCCCGACCATGGGCGACGGAGAGGTCTCGCCAGATCTGGGCGAGGCCTTGCCGTCGTCAGGCGAGCTCGGCCTCGCCCATGGCTGGCGAGCTCGACCTCGCCATGGCCGAGTGAGGTCGAGCTCGCCCAGCGATGGCGAGGCCTCGCCAGATCTGGGCGAGGCTTCGCCGTCCCTGGGTGAGCTCGACCTCACCAAAAAAAAAAGGGAAAAAAAAATTAAAATAATGCGACGTCATCCGGCCGACGTCCACGTCAGCATCGGCCGGCCAAAAGTGGCCGAATGGACTGAATTGACACAATTGTAAAAGGTTTAGGATTGAAATGGCAAAAAAAAAAGGTTTATGATTGAATTGGCACAATTACAAAAGGTTTAGGACATTTTTGGTAATTTTCCCTGTAAAAAAAATGCATTGCAATGGAGTAAAATCTTGATATGAAAGGGACATGATATGCCTTCCTCATCTCGTCCCAGCATACCAAAACCAGCTTGCTAATTAACCAAATCAAAATTCAGATAAAAGCCATTAGGACGAACCAAGCAATTGCTAGCTGTTGCTGGCCAACCCCACCCTTCAAGCCTAAGAGGTAGAGATCGGAACTCTATACCTCCCCTATCCAAATGGGACAGTAGCCAATTAGGCGAGGTTTAAGTCAACCGATACGAACTTATTTTAGATCCACTTTTGGTATGGGAAAATATTTGGGAAAATTACCAAAAAAGTCCTCAATCTATTGCATTTGTGCCAATTCAGTCCTAAACCTTTCAATTTAGCAAATTCAGTCCTAAACCTTTTGCAAACTAGCTAATTCAGTCCTTTTGGGCGGCCGGCGCCAACGTGGCCGTCGGCCGTGGCGCCGGCCGGCGTCCACTTGGCAATATTTTAATATTTTTTTATTATTATTTTCGAATTTTTTTCTTTTTTCTTTTTTTTTTCTTTTCCTTCTCTCCCCTGGCCTGTCCGGCTAGGGGGGAGGCTCGCCGGCGAGGGCCCAACTCCGGCGAGGCGAGCTGGGCCCTCGACGCCGCTGGGCGAGGGCGGAGATCGCCCAGCCAAGGCGAGCTCCGCCTCGCCGGAGCTGGACGAGCTCGCCCAACTCCGGCGAGGCGGAGCTCGCCATGGCTAGGTGAGCTTCGCCCTCGCCCAGCGGCGGCGAGGGCTCAGCTCACCATGGCTGGGCGAGCTCCGCCCTCGCCCAGATCTGGTGAGGCAGAGCTCGCCATGGCAGGGTGAGCTCCGCCTCACCTCGCTGGGCGAGGCTTGTCCAGCGGCGGCGAGGCGGAGCTCGCCTTGGCTAGGCGAGCTCCGCACTCGCCCAGCGGCGGCGAGCTCCGCCCTCGCCCAGCGGCGGCGAGGGCCCAGCTCGCCTCGCCGGAGCTGGGCCCTCGCCGGTGAGCCTCCCCCTGGCCGGACAGGCCAGGGGCGAGAAGGAAAAGAAAAAAAAAAGAAAAAAGAAAAAATTTCGAAAATAATAAAAAAAAATATTAAAATATTGTCACGTGGACGCCGGCCGGCGCCACGTCAGCCGGCCGGCGCCACGTCAGCGCTAGCCGGCCAAAAGGACTGAATTTGCTGGTTTGCAAAAGGTTTAGGACTGAATTGGCCAAATTGAAAGGTTTAGGACTGAATTGGCACAAATGCAATAGGTTGAGGACTTTTTTGGTAATTTTCCCGAAAATATTTTCACAAGAGCATCATCGATCTCATTACACGAAGTAAAATATGTAAAGTAAGCCGTATATCTTGACATATTCCAAATGAATTCACGAGATAAGCGACGACGGTATAGGAGTAAATGCATTGCAATGGACCAAAATCTGGATCAGAAAGGGACACGAAATTGCCATCCTCATCCCCGTCCCAACATTACCAAAACCAGCCCACTAATTCACCAAATCAAAGGTCAGATAAAAGCCACTAGGACTACTTAGCGATAGCGAGGGGGTGGTAGATTGAATACCCAGCTTCTTTCTGGATCACCAGCAGTGCATTTCGGCCATGATTTGTCGCATCGAGTGGTGTGGTGGGTTTTTGCCTTTTAAGGGGCCAGCTGTTCCTTATCCTTCATCATTGTCTCCCATCACAACAATACCAGTTCATATCCGTTTATTAAGTATATTTAATTAATAATTTTAATTACTAATTCACTCGCTATGCACATTATAAAAATTGATCTCTCCGTTAAGCATCACAGTAATTTCGAATCAGTGATCGCATTGAAAGTTTTTTGGGCGGGGGTAGTTGCTGTAAATTGTAATTTCGGTTCTTTTGATTATCCTAAGTTTCCGTGTACAAAAATCGTCACGTGAACATTCGACCTTGAAGGATAAGCTAAGTTGATAAAAATCACTCAATGAGATCGAACGCACGCGTCAAGGCTATGAGCCCGAAATGAAATTTGCAAGAGAAATTCAAACCCTGCTTATATACTATGATACTATATAGTAAGACAAAAGGCGTGAGTAAAATACGAGACTTCCCAAATTAAAAAGAAAAAAAGAGAAAAAACTATGGTCCCACCATAAAAAAAAAAAAAAAAGAAAGAATCGAGAGCAAAGTAATGCCTTAGAGCGAACTGGGTGGAATGCCCAACTTGTGGATGGACCGGGCTTAGCAAGAGGCTTATGTTCAAAGAAGGCATGAGAGGAATAAACATTCATGGTAATTGGTTTTCATTAATAAAGAGCATGGCCGAAGATGTTTATGTAAGTCTTGTTTTGAAGCCCAAGGTTTAGCATAAACCCACGCTATGGAGATCGATGAATTCTGCTAACCTTCGACTATTCATATAACTTCGTATATTGACGTGATCCACTGCTCGTACAAATGTCCTAAGTTGATTTAATGAAACATAATATTAAGCACGTTCCACCCAACGATTTGTTCTTTGAATAGGGAAAAACAGTAGATCCAATATAGAGATTTCGGTGTTGATTCTTCGAAACAAAAATCTTCGACAGATTAATCTATTAACGACTTTGATTGAATGAGTTAAGGCCAGTCTTCGCTTCTAATTCTTCACGGACAAATAAACGTTACGCTCACAGGAAGATGGAAAAGATATCTGTAGAGGTTAATGGCACTGGCTTCATTTTTTTTCCTTTTGTTTTTTGCTTCTTCTTTACTTAAAGCCATGCGCTTGATAGATCATATTATTCACCTTCTCAATTCCACTGATAAACAATTGTACCCATAAACAAGAAGAGGATACATTAGAAACAAGCCTTCATAAGGGAAATGACATTTCAAGTTGGTCTGGTAACATCTTTAGTAACTGAATTTACAATGCTGGTTTACAAAGACAACTCCTCAAACAATTTCATTGTCCATGAAATTTGATGGCCTTTCGCTTTGCCTTCTTCATCCACTCGGCTGCTCTTCTCTCTAGCATTCTCACAGTTCGCGCGAGCCATATGGGCCTTCCTGTTTCAAATGCAATGTATGCTATTGAAATCCCAATGACGTTTCCCGATACATAACCTATCCACATTATCTTCTGTTTGAACCAACTCTCATGCCCTTCGCGATCAAAAGTTGATGAGGATGATGGTGGAGGAGGTTGAGCATCGCCAGGGCATGCTTTTGGCAATGGAGTTCCGCATAAGCCCGGATTCCCACTAAACGAGTTGCTTGAAAATGTGCTCAAATGCTTATCTTGTGGAATTCGACCGGTGAGTTGGTTCTTCGAGAGGTTTAAGTACCCAAGGGATGCCAAATCTCCCAATTTTCTAGGAATTTCCCCGCTAAGCTTGTTCGAAGATAGATCAAGCCATCCAAGCTCAGTCAAGTTCCCTAGAGTCGGAGGGATGGAACCTGTAAGATGGTTATGAGAAAGGTTGAGCCCTACGAGAGAGTGAAGATGCCCAATAACTTCGGGGATATTCCCATAAAAAGAGTTGCCCGACAAGTCAATAATTGTGAGGAAAGTCAAGATCTTCTCTAGCTCAGTCTCTTTCCCTTTCATGGTCACGGTCATGGAATTTTCATATGACGCAGATTGCATAGAAAATTCATAAAGATACTGTGTCATATACAATGATTTGGCTTGCCCATTTTCGCCGTTCATTATGCCTTTAAGGTTCATCATCAAGTTGGCTGGCAAAGGACCGCTAAAGTTGTTGTTGGAGAGGTCCAAAATGTGTAGCTTGGGAAAGAGATGAGCTCCACTGGGAATATCCAAAAGATCCTTCAAATTGTTGGACCTCAAAACAAGAACTCTTAGTTCTGGGAGTGTTCCCAACCATCTTGGGAACGTATCCTCTATTTGATTGTCACCGAGATCCAGAACTTCCAGATATCTACATTTAACAAGCGACCGAGGCAATGTGCCTTCAAACCGATTTTGACTCAAGGCAAGAGCAATCAAGCCACTTCTCGAAGAAAATGCTTGAGGAATTGTGCCCTCAAGGTAATTCTTTCGCACGTTCAAAACTGATAGACTGGTGCTAAAATTTGTTAAGCACCGAGGCAAGCTACCTGTTAAGCTGTTGTTGGACAAGTCAATGATCTCGAGCTTGGCAAAATTGCATATCAATGAGGGGATTTTTCCTGTTATTTTATTACTTGCCATAGCATAATAAAATGTGACAGGAGATGGAAGTGGAATTGACCCTCCAAACTTGTTGTTGGACAAATCTATAGCTCGTAATGAGGTGTTTGAAAAAAACTCTGTGGGCCACTGTCCAAAGAAATTGTTGTTGGAAATAGATAAAACTTCAAGAGTGGGGAAAGAGAGTCCAAAGGCAGTGAGGTTGATCCTACCATGAAATTTGTTCGATTGCAAATTAAGGTTATACAGTTGCGGTGCTTTTAGCCAATGTGGGAAGATATCACTAAACTCGTTGTGACCGAGAAGTAGTATTGATAAGTTCACGCATTTGACAAGGGAGCGTGGTAATGGTCCTTGTAATTTATTGCTGCTCAAGTCTAGAACCTGGAGATTGGTTATATTATCAAAACATGATGGCATATTTCCAGAGAAATTATTGTTCGATAAATGTAAAGATATGAGTGAACTAAATTGGCAAATCGAAGAGGGGATCTCACCGGTGGAACCATTGTTAGAAGCAAGAAAGGAAGAAGTAGAAGGTGGAGGAATGGGGTGCGGTCCAAGGAATGAGTTCTTCTGAAGGCTAATATTCCCCAATTTCTTCCGGTGCAATTGTTGTAAACCTCCCTCCAGAAGGTTATTAGAAAGAACCAATGTTTTCAATGTATCATGGCTTATTCCCCAAAACCACCTCGGGATCTCCCCACTAATCCTATTTGAAGAAAGGTCTAAGTATGTTAATCTTTTCAACGAATTCAAGAAATAGGGAAACTTGGTCAATTTGCAAGAAGGCAACCATAACACTTCAAGCTTCGGGAATGTATACTTCAGTGTATTGTACATTAGATTTAGTTCTTGAGAAACCCCAAGCTCTCGGAGATTTTTGAGCTTTCTAAAGATTTCAAACTCTACAACCCCGGAAAAGCTATTCCCGACAATATATAAAACTTGGAGTTGCTCGAGATTTGCCAATGATTGTGGGACGTGTCCTGTGAATTTGCACCCTGTTAAATCTAAAACTATTAAACTCTTCAAGGTACCAATCGAATGGGGTATTTCTCCCGAAAAGCTCGTACGCCCAAGAGACAAAGACTCGAGAGGACCAGTCCAATTGGATTTTGGAAGAATCCCGGACAAGTCAAAGTTGAAACTTATATCGAGAGTAGTAAGGCTCGGTAACTGAAAAACTGTATTTGGAAATATACCCCCTAAAGAACAAGAAGGAGCACTTAAATATGTCAAAGAAGAAGACAAGTTCGCAAAGGGCTTTGGTGAAACCATGGACATGTCTACGTCATCAAGAACAAGCTTTCTCAATGCTGTAAGATTCTGAACCAGCATTGTGAAGATCGAATTTTCCAACCTAAGAGTAGGGAATGGGTATGTGTCAAAATTATAATTGAAAGAGAGATCAAGCGACACCAACTTGGAGAGGTGAGAGATTTCACTGGGAACGGAACCCGAAAAGTGTGAACGAGAGAGATTCAGACGAGTCAATGTTGCAAGAGAACTCAGATTAGATAAAATGAGTGAGCCAGCAAAGTTATTACCGGAAAGGTTGAGGCTCCGAAGATGGCGAAGGAGAAGGAGGGAGCTGTTGGAATGGAGAGCACCACGAAGCCGACTGCAAGTAAGATCTAGACCGATGACGTTGCCGGCGACACCATCACAAGACACGCCGTCCCACGAGCAGCAGTCCACGCCCTTGTTCCATGAGTTTGTCTTCGGATAAGACACGGCATGGCCATCCCGATCACAATAGTCCGACGCCATGCTATCGAGCACGAAGGAATTCTTAAAATGGAGCAAGGCATCGCGTTGGTCAGGAGGGCAAAGGGGCGTAGAAAATCGCAGGGAGGCATGTAACAAAAAGTGGAAACAGAGGAGGAGACGAAGGAGGATATGATGCCACCCCATATTGCAATTTAGCATGCGAGTGAGTTTATTGGTGCCGATGGAGGGGGTGCTTCCACTTATAAAGCCCTTCTGTATTGTGAAGTGATCAAGATCAATACGGGTCTTCTCTAGAAGGACAAAGTCAAAGTCTTCTCAAAATGGCATTATTGGGAGACAGAATTTCCATGGTGGGGTCACTTGGGTGTGGGAAAAACCGCAGTGCCATAGAAATTTCCGATGAAAAAGATTCTCTTGAGACGTCCTTGAACGCGCGATGTCTTGCCACGTGTACAAAACCGCATCGTTCACGGCACTAACAACTCTATTGGACGGTTGCCGAATTTGACTGTCCTAAAAATTCTTTAATTGCATTTTCCCACGGTATTTTTAAATGAGCATAAAAGAATACGCTTTGTCGATACCTCACGAGTCACGATAAAGTATTTACCTATGATAGTGCTCCATTTTGAAAGTCAAACCTCATTGGCCAGTTAAGAGACTTAGAGAGGTTTCTAATCAATAATTAGTAATTTCTCGTGACAAAGCCAGTAAGCGTTTTACAGGATTATTAGGAATTCTTCGTTACAATAAAATTATAACTTTCGAAACCCGTAGAAATCTTTTCACGTCTTCACGTGATTAGTTACTTACATGACCTAATATGCCCGTTATACTAATTGTTCGGAATACTGTAAATTGTTTAAACGTGTATATAATAGGGTCTCATAGGGTGGTGGGGCAGCAAATTAAACATTTATGTGTAAACACAAAATTTGGCATATTTTCCTCTTACGTGAGGAAAAATGTGCCGAAACAATGGATCCACTCAAAGAATAATTAAGCAATGGGGGTATTTCGTCGATCGGGAATATATGTAAATTGTGTTATCTCGTTATCGAAGTACATATTTTGTTTGTTTTGTTTTTTTTAAATGATAAAATGGGAAGAAGCTTGGATGTGAGAGGTCTCTTTGATAAAGATTTTGCAGCCAAGTTATTTGGTGCCGATTTTGTAGTCAATCATGATTTAGGGAGTTCACGATATTCTGGGCCCTTGTTGAGTTGGAATTAGGTGTGAGCCTTAATCATTTTAAGGTTGGAGACACGATGATTGCTCGTGAACTATGTGCTCGTCTAGCTTTATCCATGACCGGGACTCGATAATTAAGCTTGGTGTTCGATGGTTGATACGGTCCTTTTAGACCGAGAAATCATCCTTCTATGAGATGCCATTGACCATAATGGGGGGATGAATACACTAAATACTCTAATTCCACAGAAAAAGAAAAAAAATACCGTAATCATTGTCTTTGTGTGAGAAGTCTTTACGAGTACTAATTTCACCGGAGCGGATATGTCCATTGAAGCTGGCAAGAGTCTGATGTGGAACGCTTGGGCGTAACGATCGCAGTGAAAAATTTTGTTGCTCGTGGTCTAGTTGCAATCGATCAATTGATGGTTCCCAATAGCCAAAAACCTTTTTTGTGTTGGACTGTTGCCCACTTCGTTGAACACATCTAGTTAATCAAATTTAGAGTCTGAAATATTTAATTAGGAAAGCCATATAATGTAATGACCTAATTAGACAAATTAAAGGTCCAAGGGATTTGCATGGCCCTCATAGGCAAGGCACACCATTTCCATTTTTATTTTTTTATTTTGGATCATCGAGGTGCACTACTTGACAATACATCAAATTACATTATCTTAATTACACTCTTTTCACTGTTTTTAAGTCGTATAAATTTCTAATGGATTTACTTTACAAGCATCAAAACGGGCTGAAAAAGTACTGTTAAAACGTGTAAAATACCATCGTCTCTCTAGAAGGCCGGTGAGTGTATCGGTGGCGGAGGACTGGAGGGTGCTTCCACTTATAAAGCCCATCCATACTGTGGTGTGGTCAACGCGAGTGTTCTGTCGAAGGTCAAAGTCAAAGTCCTCTTAAAATGACGTTAGTGGGACACAAAATTTCCATGGTGGGTCACTTGGGTGTGGAAAATTCTTAGTGCCGAAGGAATATTTTCATGGAAAAATCTTCTTGAAACGTGCCGCGCGCGCTGTCTTACCACGTGCACAAGGCCCCATTGTTACCGCACTCACAACTCTTTTTAACAATTGACGAATTTGACTTTCGTAAATTCTTGAATTGCATTTTTTTTTGCTGGTATTTGTAAATGAGCTAAAAAGAATACGCTTTGTCGATGCGTCACGACAAAGTATTACTTGACGAGAATCCTCCATTTCGCAAGTCAAATCTCATTTGTCAGTAAAGAGACTTAGGGAGGTTTATAATCGATAATTAGTAATGCTTTATGACAAAGCTAGTGAGCTTTTTATAGAATTACTAGGAAATCTTCATTACTGTTAGAATATTTAAATATTAAATTATGTATTTTTTTAACAGCTTAAACTTTTAGAATAGTTATATGTAGTTCTATGATACCTAACATGATATCAGAGCAGGAAATCTTAGGTTCAAATCTTTTTAGCCGTCTATTTTTTGCTTCTCTGATGAAATATCTCCACTTTTAGTACTAGACGAAGGAACCAGATTAAACATAAGAGGGAGTGTTAGAATATTTCAATATTCTCTTGCGCACTTTGTCAAATGCATGAGCTCCAGTTAACCAAATTTAGAGTCGGAAAGATATAATTAGAAAAGCCATATAAATTTAATGACCCAATTAGACAAATTGAAGATTTAAGGGCTTTGCATGGTGGTCCTTATGGGCAAGGCACACTATCTCTATTTTTTTTTTTTTTTTTATCATCGAGGAGCATATATAACACATCGAATTACATCATTTCAATTCCACTCTTTTCACTTTTGTGTAATTTTTTTATGGGTTTACTTTACAAACGTCAGAATGGGAACGTGTAAAATACCATCGGTCCCTCTAGGTTTGCCCCACCATCTCAAAAAATCAATAGGTATTATTTTGTAGGATTACAGCGTTATGATTTGTTCGAAGCTATATTCGCTTTTTGTCTTCTACTTCTCTCCGAATTTCGTAGAGCAAGTAATTTGATTTTTTTTTTATTTTACATATGCATGCATGTACAATTTTTTTCATAATTTTTTAAATTCAAATAATATTTGAAGCACTTGGCGATAAACATAAAAATTATCTCTCCGCTTTGCATTAATCAAAACACAAATGCGGTAGCAAAATTCTAAAAGACCTAGTGTAATTTTTGCTACAATCCTTCATTTTTCCATTAAACACACATCGATATATCGAGTATCTATAGCAGAGTCGTTACAAATAGATAGGTCCTATGAACATGATACCAAAGCAAATCCATATATATCCAAGTAATGCCAAGGGCCTTAGCTTGAACGCGTCCTTAATGCCTCGGAACAAAAACATAAAAAAACAATCATAAAAGTGCGATAATGCAGTTTACAATTTCGAACAATCCAAAGATTACGAACATAAGTATTTCATTTCAATTCGGTAACTAAAGCTTGTAACTTCCCCCATTTTCCAAACTTATTATGGCCCAAGCATTTCGACCTTCTTGATAGCCGATATCTCCCTCTTTTTATTTGCCTTTGAAGGCCGAATCTCTATTAGTAGAAAGATTATGTGTTTGATGTGATTTCTTCGGAGAGAAATCTATAACGATCTCATTCCTTTCTTTTTTTATGATATTTTCTCGTGGATTTAATTAGCTTTGACTGGTTGCATTTTTAACTTTTCTCCATGTATTCTGTCATGGAGACAGATTAAGGAAGAAGACAAATTACAAATTAGCGGTGTTCAAGACGGATTAAGGAATTATAACATCTCTATAAGGTTAACTTTTGTTCTCAAATTTGGACAATATGGTCGAAATTTGTAAATCCGTCGTGCCGCTTTAATGCGAAGGAAAATCAAAAAAGGGAAAAAGAAAAATAAAAAGGGAAAAAGAAAAAAGAAATTCCCCAATCACTCCAGAAAGTGGGCCCCACAGATCTCTGACTTGCCAACCCACAGGCCCCACGTGGGCCCACCACCATCCTCACTTCCCCACTTCTCTCCTTCCCCCCTCTGTCTCTCTCTCAATCTGTCGTGATGAATATTTATTTTGATGATGAACATGATGCGTGCTACCAAATTCAAATTGACCGCAATACGCGATGAAATCTCGTCAAAGCGGACGAATCAGATGACACTCGCTCTTCTAGTGGAAAGAGATTAAAAAAATACTATGGCAAAATGTCTTTCGTGTTCAAAGTTCCTGAGCTACTCCAAAGAAAGCTTGAACTCATTCCGAACTTATAAGGATTTGTAACTGGTATTTAAATAGTCTTGCGACTCCAAGTTGAAAACTCGTTCCAAACTTTAAGCCCTATTGAGTTTTGAAAGACTAGTTAAATACTCTCTTAGACTTGCCTCGCTGTAATCCCTTTCTGCAAATTAATTAGGCTATGTTGGGTGAATCGGATGCAACACCGCATAGGGATACACCCAATAAGGATATCTACAATCTAGGAAAAAATAATAGAAAAAGGAAAACACGAAAGAAAAATCGAGCTAGGTTGTGGAAGAAAGAGGGGGAAGGAGAGGGAATGGTGGCCGCTGCTATGAATGGCGACCACCAGCGCGGCGACCACCAGGTCAAGAGTGCCCTAGTAACAATAGTCACCGTTATTCGACAAGCTTAGCGACCACTTTCCTTGTTTTGTCTCTCTCTTTCTATTCGTGATCTATTGGTGCCAGTCATGCCACTGATGCTAGTCTTGAAACCAACAGTGGTGGCCACGTAAGTCTCGCAGGATTGGAGGTGGTCACACCGGGCTTGGGGAGTGATGTGAGCACTATTATGACCCATGCCTTAGTTTTTTTTTTTTTTCTGTGGAAATCTCAAAAGGAAAGTTATATTCTACATTCAATCAGTTATATCCGCTGTACACCACTAATTTGAGTAATGTATATGCACATTCATGAATATTTACCAAACAATATATAGATTATTAGAATGATAGAATCTTATCTTACTTATATTCTTTTTGGTAAAAATGTCAAGATGACCAAATGTAGCCTTA